GCAGCGCTGTTTTATCATACTAGATACATTTGAAAGTTCTGTTATTATGCTACTGTGCGGTCGTCACTGGTCTATTAAAACGCACAACATATTAAAGCGTCTTTGGTGTTTCCATGTTTTCTACAAAACAAAACCGGAAATCGAGGGGTTATGACGTCATTGGCAGGCGACACAATAACACTATGGACACGGTCCGTGTCACTAGTTAAAATTGCTAATTTCTCTGGATTTAAACATTCTTCGAAACATTTGGGATAATGTAAGTACACAAGTCAGCAAAATATATAACACTGTTCTAGTGGTTTTTGGATATTTTAATAAATTTTTTTTACATATTGTGCCTTTAAGTCCATTTCACAATGGCCGCGATGCGAAAAAGCGAGACGAATTGCTGACGAACGGTGCTTTCACACCGAGAGCAAAGCGACTGATCGCCTTCTGCTAATTCACGCCTGCAAGCTAGGTGGCGCCGAGCAACAATGCATATTTCCTCACATATGTATCTTGTATATGGATTTAACATCATTCGCTGCACAATATGCAGCATTAAATTAAGACAAATAAAGTATGGCTCTACACCAGAAACACAAACTATGGCTCTACACCAGAAACACAAACTATCTATAATGCTTACAAGAATACATCTTAAAATATAAATAGAGGTACAAATATCATCAAGCTACATTTGAAAATGTATGCGATTATAAATGTTTTTTGCTTAAAACCCACTTTAAACCATGTAATAACTTCCAATAGATATCTAAAGTGGATTGACACACCAGACGAACAAACAATCCTCACTTTTTCACGCCACGAACGATTGCGCCTGGTGTGAATAGCTCCATAGGGATCTATTGTTTCGATTCAAAACTGTCATCGCGCCAAACATTCGCGACAAATTTTCCCCTTCAGAGTGAAAAGGCCTTTACTTCTGGTGACTGTATTATTTAGGCTTCAAAATTCATAAAAGTGTTTATTTGTGAAGATTATCATTATGAACGGAATGTGTAAGAAACAAAAACTTTTGCTGGTCACAGAACGTATTTTCTGCGACAATCCAAAAACCAAGGGAACCAGGGTGATGCTAACTTCCGGGTTAGCCTACAAAAATATGCCATCACTGCAGCACTCTATAAGCACAATGGTCAATAAGGTTATTGCGAATGCCACTAGGAGGCGAACTGCGAAGATTGCCTGCAGCGATAAAAGCCAAAAAAGTCCAAAAATAATGTAAAAAGGCAAGTTTAGCTCTGCAATGACTGCACAAGCTGAGCGGTAGTTAGTGTCTTTATCTCTGCTCCGTCAGGACCGCAGTTCCCTCATGCCCCGGCATGCCTCCATCTGTCTCCCACCACAGGATGCCAACCAGGGACCCCAACCCTATCAGACCATCTCTGCCATATGCCTCTGTTCTGAGCGTAACCATAGGGATCAGTCTCAGGACTTTGAGAGGCATCCATCTGAACCCAAAAAGTGCTGAAACATCAGCTTGACAAACACAGAGTATTTGCAACTAAAAAGCAGATGTGCACTGCAGTGATTTATGCAAGATAACAAGGGTTTATTTAAAACAACGGAGACTAAGCAGTGAACACATAGGTGGAGTGACCTTTCCCATGGACCGATCCATAAGTGTCCGGCTGTGATCGCTGCCTGAGAGCCGCTCTTTTTGGCTGCGTTGTTTTCTCTCCAGTCTAAGCATGTTCTTAGGGGGTGCAAGTAATTTTAAGATCCTCCGGGGCGTCCTTTCTTACACTGATCTGGGTCCAGTTCTGCAGCGTGTCAGATAATGACAGACAGCAGGGTTTGCAGAACGACAGCTGATCCCGATTCAGCGTGTGTGCGGCTCCTACCCAAAGCCCTTATGCCACCTGACGTTTCAGTGCCAGAGGCCAGATGATGTGGTTCGCAGCAAGACAGGAAGCTTGGCGTACGATGACTCTGCGTCAGACAGACGGCTCTCAGCGAGACAGGAAGCTTTCTTCCCACAAGCAGTGAGTGTTCTGATCTGGAGTGGGCTGCTGTCCCAGCTCTCAGCCTCAAATCACTCACACACCAACAGAATAGTGCTCGATTTACTGTGATTTACCACTACAATATTCTCAAACCACTATGCAACAAAATAAATATTACAATTACTGGTCAATACTACAAAGTTGAAAATTATTTTCATTTGTTATTAATATTTGCTACTATTTTTGTCAAAATAATTGAAAAATAAAACACTACAAATTCAAGTCACAACATTCTAAAGTATGAAAAAATATTATTTTGACAAATTTATTTTTAATTATTTTAAAATAATTAAGATTAATTTAAACATAAATAACAATAAAAGTATTTAAACATGAAAATGAGAATGTATGATTATATATATCCTAATACAAATAAATATAAACATCTGTAATAATTTTGTCCAACATGATACTGATACACTGTGCATCCCTAATAAAAATCCTTGTCAACGAATAATAAATGTAATGTAGTAAAAACAAAAAAAAATTATATTGATCAACTACTTAATAGTGCAAACAAATAAAAAAAATCCTTGAATAATAAATTTACATTGAAATTTTTTTTTTATTAATTAATTAATTTAGAAAACGGGGGAACTGTAAAATAAGCATGCACAATTAAATATCCAACATAAGTAATAATAAATAAATAATACATTATTTATTTATTTATTTAGAAAATGGGGGAAAACTGTAAAATGCACAAATATAAAAAAAAAGTGTAATATCGGCCATTATGGTATTTTCATCTTTATTCCCTAATAAAAAACATTTCAATGAATAATAAATTGTCAATTATTTATATTGTTAAGCCATTCAAAACAACAAAAAAGAAAAATAAATGTAAAAATAAAAATATACATAAAAAAATAAAAGGAACAAGTGCTTAACATTTTGCCCATTTGTGATGATCACTGGGTAATTTGGGCGGTCTGTGGTCAACAGAGTGCGTTTTGTGCAGGTAGGCAGGTGCTGATGCACCATAAGTCCTGTTAAGCTTCTCTCACGCTTTGGACCGATTTATCATTCTTCAGTCCCTGAGCTCCACACGCCTCCAGGACTCATTGTTACACTTGGCACGATGCCACCGCAGATCCATCAGCCGACACTCTGACACACCTCGCTGTCTGCTGGAGCGGATGACATCACAGCTGGGACACAAGCTCATTTTTCAGGAGTGGAAAGTGTCCTTCGGTGTCGATAAATGTCATCCAGGGGTAACGCAGAGGAACGTCTCACATTCATAAATACAGAATGAACATGAGGCAACGACCCTTGGAGACAAGCGGGACATAGAGTCGATGACTGAATGCCACAGATGAGAAGTCAGAAGTGAAATAAGCGTCAGATGCCTTCAAGCAACAATAAACGCTCTGTTGGACTCTATCTGGCAGCGTATGACACAATCATGTCTGTGTCGCTCAACTGGGCCAGAACCTGCAGCGCACAGGAAAGGATACAGAGAGTGGAGTCTAAAACTGGGCCGAACACTAGTCACGACAGCCACTGGCAGCACACTCAGTCCAAGTCTGGACAGGGTCAGCTGACAGCTACACACACAGGCAGACGGAAGGGCACAAACACACACTCGCAGTTGGTCCCCTTCTCAGTCTCACATGCATAAAATATTAACAAGCAATTAATAGGGCCCGGATAATAGGATGTTAATCGCTTTGGACGTCGTTGACATTACTAAGAAGCCATTTCAACATTTCACAATCTTCTCGTTACACAGATTAAGATCGTTTTCGATCATTTTGGAGCTCTAAAGTGACATCTGTAAGTAAATATCAAAGCCTCAAATGAACAAATGTGATTTAAAATGAGTGTCTGCAAGAAAATGACTATCCATCACGCTCAAGTCCAAGTAACTCAAGACAAGAAACCCAAATATAACTACTGCACATTAAATGAATACATTACTAAATCTGACAGAAAAACTATGGTGAGTTAGGGAATTAATTAATATAATATTTTTCATTTTAGTACCGGAAAACTTGATTCTGAGGAGTCGTTTATGTATATTTGAAAGCTAAACTTGTTATTTCCCTGCTGTTCATGGCAACATACCGACGCTACTTTCATTTTCTGACTCAACACAGCTACTATGACTAAACTATGGATAAAAATGACATATTAATTTATAAATAAATTTAAAAAGTCCTAAGTTGTTCTTGTTATCAGATGTGCAATGCATTATTCGTCTTAGAAGAAACTTTAAGCTAACCTACAAGTAAAATATTAACAATTTTATCTTCTTTTATGTCCAAGTATTAATTTAGTAAGTAGCCATTTAATATTTGGGATAAAATACAGTTAGTTATCACTGTCACATAAACCCCTTCGTAATAATGCAAGATCACTCCATTACTAACCTACAGGAGGGGAAAAAAACCATAATAAATAAATAAATAAATAAATAAATTGGATTAAAAATATAAAGCGCAAATCAATCAAAATCAATAAATAATTTTTTTTTAGCATTAACAAAATATTTCTTTAAAACTATAGATTTTGTTATAATAATGTTTAACATATAACAACACAATTTGATAATTAGCTGATGATGGAAAAAAAAAAAAAAAGAAGACGGCTCGCGCTGTCTGGCCCAAAATGAGCCCGATTACGTCTGGATGAAGAACTGGGTTACATTCAGGGTCCAGTTAAAGCAACCGGCAGCGGTCTCCGTTAACGCACGACCAGTTCTTTCTAATTTTGCCTCCGACAAATGATCTGATTTATCTAAGAATATGAATATGTCAGTCTATTCTTAACTTGTGCAACGGCCCGACTATCGGCTAGCAGTTGTCGGTCTGATATGAAGTCGGAGGGTCCTAACAACTTTTTTTTGCCCCAGACTAAACCCGCTGCGCTCCTCTCTCTATCTATCCGCGGGGCCACTGGCACAACTGGCATCATTACGCACCCATCTGATGCCATCTGCACAAAAAACAGACATATACGAGGAGAATATCATCTCCTTACCTCTGCAAAGTGGAATGAGTTAATGACACTGTGAGTCCGCGGAGAGCAGAAGTCTGAGCCGCGCTGGCTGGCGATCCGGCGGAGATGACCTGGATTTCACCGCCAGACTCGACGGCGTAAAAATAATCAGGCGCACAGCGGCGAGTGAAGCCAGCGGCAGTCAAGACACACTCACAGATGGAGGACAGCCGAACAGCTTTTAAAATAAGAGACTCGACGCAAGCGCGCAACACGAGTCTTCAAAATAAGAGTTTCAGTTATAAAAAATAAAATAAAAAAACAGAAAAAGAGAGCTTGTGTCGTGCTTTGCTTCAGTTTCTAAATTTCAACGTGAGTTTTATGACTAATATTAGATTGTCAGGTTTTTTTTTTTGTAAGTTAACATTGTTTTTATTATACTGTAAAATGAGATATTGTGTTCATTTTAAAAGTCTTAAAAGTTTACAAGTAATTATTCTCAATCATTTGCTTATAATGTTTTTTATAAGTCTGAATTGGGTTTAGTCGTTCTCTCGTCTTGAAGCTTGAAGGGACATTAGCAGGGACATATAGTGCATTCATATACCGCCCCCTACTGGAATGATTTGGGGTTTAAGTCACGGTTTTACTCATTGAATAAATGAAAATCTATCACTATTGTATTTTTAAAACGCAGTTTCTAGTTTTCTTAAAAGATACAAAATAGAATACTACCAAAATTAAGTTTTTCATTATATAAATGCTTGGTGTTGATACCTTTTTTTTTCTTACTGATTAAACGAGACATACTCGTTTATGATCGCTTTGCTTTGCAATGATTTGTATCGTGAAAGGCGCTGTACAAATAAACTTGACATACTGGCATGAGTAATGGAACAATAGCATTTATTAACATTTTTGAATAGCTCTATTTGTGTTTTAGTTTCAGACTAGTAATTTTATTATTTAAAATCAAACTTTCCGAGGCAACATTTCTCTTTTTCATTTCCTAAGTTTTTGAATATTCCTAAGTATTTAAATTACTGAAATTTTTTTTAACAGTTTCAGTTAACTTATAGCAACACTGGTTTCCATATCCTTTAATAATCATATTTTGATTAAGGCTTCGTTATGACATGTTTTAAATGACGATGTCAACGTTCAGTCCTCATCTGTAATTGGCCAGCATAGTTTCTCCCAGCAGAGCAGAAATACTTGAACAGTTATTCATAAAATATGTCTGGAAATAAAACATGTGGCACCACTACACTGATTAAAAATTCCCTCCTGGCTAAGATAGCGATGCACAGAAAAACAGAAACTGGTTTGTACCAGTTTCGTCAGGAATGAGTGAATACTAGTGTTAGACTAAATGTGGTACATTGAACAAATATTTTCCTGTGGAGCACATAATTAAGATTTCACAAAATCCACGCCAAAATGGCCTGAAGATGATCTGCATTACAAACACTATGTCCCATGGTCTCTCTCTTTATTATAATTATATAAATTTGATACTGTAGCTGATACATATATATATATATATATATATATATATATATATATATATATATATATA